GGGGGGGGGTCACATGACACCTTTTACTTCTGGTCATGTGTCCATCTTGCCCCGAGAGTGTTACCTCCAGAGGTGTGGCTAATGGGAGTCAGGGGTGTGGTTAACAGGGGTCAGGGGAGTGGCTAATGGGGAGGGTCAAAGGTTACATTTTAAAAAACTTCTTTGGGTGCACACCCTAATGAAATGTGCTGCTCACGCCTATGTTTATAACACCAGCATTGTTAATACTTGTTCATAAAGGTACAAAGTTTATGGAATGAGGAAATTGCTTTCTTGTGAAAGGGTGTGTGAAGAGTCTAACTCTAGCAGTCACTACTGAAATGTGATAGAGAGAGTTAGCATGCTCTCTCCACTTCCAGAATAATTAGGATCAACAATCCAGTACACGATTTAGTGCTTGATTTGTGAAAACACCATTGACACAAATATGCACACGTGGATGTTTAATGCTCTTCACTTTTTTTTTTTACGAGATAAACCGACACTTACTGTTGGATTGATCCAAGATGAAGGAAAGTGGCAGGTCACCATTACAGGTAAGATTTGTTATGGTTGGTCTTCTGACTCAACACCCAGAAGCTTAAATTATGATTAGAGTATCTCAGACCCTATGTCAGTTCCTCAGGTTAGCTGAGGGGGAGTAAAAGGCATTAAAGAAGCAGAGAAATTCTTTAAATGAATACTGATAACTACCCATCTTTATAGGAAAGAGAACTTCTCCATTTCCTGTCCCCGTCTCTCTTTCTTTTTACCTTTTCTCCTTTAATTATTTTTGTGCTGTTGTGTTTGTTACACTGAATAGAAAATGGAAGAAATGTAAGCACTGTATAAGAGCAGGTATTATTATTAATGTATACAAGGGCCAAACTTTCTATATATAACCTCTGCATTTATGGTCAAGCGTTTTCACATGGAATTGTTTGTATGTACAACTTGTGCATAACTGTTATTTGTACATGAAGAGACTGTTACTCTCTCTGGATAGCTCATGCAAAACTTTGTACATAAATGAGTGGTCAGAATATGATTTTCATGTTCATGTTCAATACCATTAAAATTAAAAATGTTTCTGCTGTTCATCCCATTTTGAGCCAGATTCTCACAGGTGGATGGATCACCTCATTTTCCAAATGCCATTGTACCTGTCTCACATGAAGAAAAACTCACTGTTGTGTGTCTAGATCAGTGGCTCTCAATCATTTCAGACTACAGTACCCCTTTCAGGAGTCAATTTTGTCTTGCATACCCTCAAGTTTTACCTCGTTTAAAAAATACTGTCTCATTTATACCTATAACTATAAAATGAAGCAATTGGAATATAAACATTGTACTTACAGTTCAGTGTTTAGTATGTAGAGCAGTATAAACAGTCATTGTACAAAATTGTAGTTTCAATTGACTTTGCTAATGTTTGTCCAATGCACATAGCAGACGTGTGCTTATAACCAAGTGAGTTATAAGATCAAGAACACATATTCCTGCGAATCCAGAAATATAATCTATGCTATCATGTGCCGAAAGTGTCCGTCTGCTATGTACATTGGACAAACATCTCAGACACTTCGCCAAAGGATTAATGCCCACAAAACAGATATCAGACAAGATCACAAAGAAAAAACAGTTTCTTGCCATTTTAACCAGAAAGGACACTCTCTCAATGACTTAACCACCTGCATTCTGCTACAAAGACCTTTTACATCTGCACTTGAAAGGGAATCCTCTGAACTGTCATTCATGTTAAAATTCGACACTCTCCAAAAAGGAATGAACAAACACTCAAACTATCTTACCCATTACCGTTGTTGTTAACGGTTCTAAATCCTGCTGGAAAGGGATAACAAGTGGAGTTCCTCAAGGGTCTGTTTTGGGACCCGTACTGTTCAATATCTTCATCAATGATGTAGATATTGGGATAGAGAGTACGCTTATTAAGTTTGCAGATGATCCTTCTGTTCTGCAATGTGATTTGTCCTTTTCATATTTGTTCATTTTTTTAATTGTATCCTTTGGTATATATGGTTGTGACTATTTTCTTCCACTATTTGATCTGAGGAAGTGGGTCTGGCCCACGAAAGCTCATCATCTAATAAACCATCTTGTTAGTCTTTAAAGTGCTACATTGTCCTGCATTTTGCTTCAGCTACCCCAGACTAACACGGCTACATTTCTATCACTCTTTATTTTTGTATTTGTAACAATATTAAAGTGTTTTTCCTAATTTTCATCTATAAAGCACATCTGCTTCAACATGCTGATGTTTTCCCACTGAAGCTAACACATACATAGACATAGAGAACAATCTGATGGGGTTGTGTGTACAATACATCTGCGTAGTCATTCTCAAAGACTTTTACTCTCACTAAGGTATCCCGAAATAGCTATTCTGTGACTTTTCAGCACACCCATTATTCTGACATCCCTGTAAACCTCATTCCACAAGGATTAAGGGACATTCGGAATAGCGATTTATTTTGAAATAAGTACTGTGTAGACAGCACCAAATTTCAAAATAAGCTATTCTGAAATTGACTCAAAATAAGCTATGCAATTTGCGTAGCACAAATTATGTAGCTTATTTCAAGATAAAATGTATACAGAGGATCTAATTTAAAACCTTGTTCCCAATTACATTTTGAAGGAAACATTATAGCAGAATTGTGCTAGCAATAGACATGCACTTGATTCAGGAGGGTATTTAAACTAATTTTAAGCATACGAGTAAACTATAGGCAGATGTTTAAGTACCCTCCTGAATTTGGACATATGCTCAGAAGTATGTATTTTAAAATAGTAACTGTGGTTATGTCTACATTTGAGCTGAGAGGCAAGGTGCATATGCCAGCACTACTTGAATGGGAGCTACCATTCAAGTTAGCATCTTATAGACATGTAACTGGGAGTAACATGGGCAGTGGCTCAGGCAGGCTATCTATAGGTGAACAAACCTTTTTGGCCTCAGCCAACTAGTCCAAGTAGTCTCTGTGACGTAGTGGGGGTACTTGCTGGGCTGTGGTGACCTCTGCTGTCTGGAGCAAGACCCAGCAGGGAAAACCTCATTATGCAAAGGTGACTCAAAAACCTGTCTGACCTGCGGCCCCCCATGGGGAGAATGGGAGGTGGAATGCTGCCCTGGCTGTGGGCAGGGCTGGAAGAAGGGAAGTTAGTTCCTGGCTGGAAGGCAGGGAAGAAGGAGCTGGAGAGGGGGCTGGGACTCCCCTATCTCAAGGGGGGCACTGAGGCCTCTTAGCCCCAGTTCCTGTAACCAGATTACATCTGTGCTGCGCTGTGCTGGAGGAACAATAAACAACCTCCATTCTACTGGCTGGTGAAGTCTGTTCATACCATTTCGGGGTGCAGGAGATGGGAAAATCCCGACGCGTCATCACAGTCCCATATGAGAGAAAATGTTTAGTGATTCTCTATACAAATGGAGGAATTAATTGCACAATATATTGGGCTTTTAGAAACCAGACATTTGTGTCAGAAGCCATAGATGTTCGTGTCAGTGACTTCTGTGCCCGCTGAGCTGACTACAATTTAAAATCTTAGCTGTGCCAGCTAGGGTCATTATCTACATTTTGATCTCGTTTTCTAGCTTATGGAGCAGCCCAAACTCAATTTTAGAAGATACCCAAATAAATGGCCTTCTGCAGAATCTTACCCTTGAGATAGAAGGATTACTGTTGATCAGGAAGAAGAGAGCCATAAATAGGAAAAAGTGTGCAGGATAGCTGCCTACGGCACAGAGCCATCAGGGGTGCAAAGCTGGGGAATCCTGCAGGCTTGAGCCCAGGGACCCCAGCCAGAGCAGGCACTCTAGCACTAGGACCCTGCTGTGGCTTGTTTCTACTATGCATGCTCAGGAGGGGCCAAATGAGGGTATGGAGAAAAGTCTGAAATGGGGAGAAACTGACTGAGTGGGAGGAGGGATTCAGATAATTGAGGCGGGGGTGAGCAGGCCGAGGAACAAAATTGGGGAGGAATGGTGGGAGCTAGAGTTCAGCCCAGGAGTGAGGCTGTGCCAGATGGTGGCAGAGGGCAAAGCCATGGCAGAGAGAGTAACAGTTACCCTGTCAGGATGAGACATCTGCACTGTTTGCAGAAGAAAACTGGAGGAGTCCTAGGCTGCTTCTGCTTTACAGAATCCTAGAACACTAGAACTGGAAGGGACCTCAAAAGGTCACCAAGTCCAGTCCCCTGCCCTCACGGCAGGACCAAGCCCTGTCTAGATCATCCCTGACAGGTGTCTGTCTAACCTGCTCATAAATATCTTCAGTGATTGAGATTCCACAACCATGCTAGGCAATTTATTTCAGTGTTTAACCACCCTGACAGTTGGGAAGTTTTTCCTGATGTTCAACCTAAACCTCGCTTGCTTCAATTTAAGCCCATTGCTTCTGGTCCTATCTTCAGAGGCCAAGGAGAACAACTTTTCTCCCTCCTCCTTATAACACCCTTTTGTGTACTTGCAAACTGCTATCATGTCCCCTCTCAGTCTTCTCTTTTCCAGACTAAACAAGCCCAGTTCTTTCAGACTTCACTCATAGCTCATGTTTTCTAGACCTTTAATCATTTTTGTTGCTCTTCTCTGGATCTTCTCCAATTTCTCCACGTATTTCTTAAAATGAGGTGCCCAGAACTGGACACAGTACTCCAACTGAGACCTAATCAGTACAGACTAGAGCAGAAGAATGACTTCTCGTGTCTTGCTCACAATACTCCTATTCATGCATTCCACAATCATGTTTGCTTTTTTTGCAACAGTGTCACACGGTTGACTCATGTTTATTTTGTTGTCCACTATAACCCCTAGATCCATTTCAGCAGCATGCCTTCCTAGACTATCACTTCCCATTCTGTGTGTGTGGGACTGATTGTTCCTTCCTAAATGGAGTACTTTGTATTTGTCCTTATTAAACTTCATTCTGTTTACCTCAGACAATTTCTCCAGTTTGTCCAGATCACTTTGAATTTGGACCCTGTCCTCCAAAGCACTTGCAACCCCTCTCAGCTTGGTATCATCTGCACACTTAAGTGTACTCACTATGCTATCATCTAAATTGTTGATGAAGATATTGAACAAAATTGGCCCCAAAACAGACCCCTGCGGCACCCCACTTGTTATGCTCCTTGCAGCATGATTGTGAACCGTTAATAACTTCTCTCTGAGTACGGTTATCCAGCCAGTTATGCACCCACCTTATAGTAGCCCTGTCTAAGCTGGATTTCCCTAATTATTGATAAGAAGATCATGAGAGAGAGTGTCAAATGTCTTACTGAATTCTAAGGATACCACATCTACCTTATCCACAAGACTCGTTATCCTATCAAAGAAAGCTATCAGATTGGTTTGACGTGATTTGTTCTTTACAAATCCATGCTGGCTGTTACCTATCACCTTGTTATCTTCCAGGTGTTTGCAGATGATTTCCTTAATTACTTGCTCCATTATCTTCCTTAGCACAGAAGTTAAACTGACTGGTCTGTAGTTTCCTGGGTTGTTCTTATTTCTCTTTTTCTAGATTTGCCTTTTTCCAGTCTTGTAGCATCTCTCCCGACTTCCATGATTTTTCAAAGATGATAGCTAAAAGCTCGGATACTTCCTTTATTTGCTCCTTGAATAGTCTAGGATGCATTTCATCAAGCCTTGGTGACTTGCAGACATCTAACTTTTCTAATTTTTAACTTTTAAACCTACCCCATTTCCACTAGCATTCACCATGTTCGGCATCCTGCCACCATCCATCTTCTTGATGAAAATTGAAACGAAGTCATTAAGCACCTTTGCCATTTCCAAGTTTCCTGTCATTGTTTCTCCCTCTTCACTGAGCAAGGGGCCTATCCTGTCCTTGGTCGTCTTCTTGCTCCTAACATGCTTGTAGAACATATTATTATTACCCTTGTTACTCCTATATTACCATTACAGTTAGGGGAAGCAACCTTACAAACAAAGAAAGTAAACACTGCACATGTAAAACATGCCTTGAGTCACCACTCAGTAGGGAGTAAGGTAAAACATGCCCTGCTTCCTCCTTGAGCTGTGTTTTCCTGTTACTGTGATCTATCTTTCTTTGTTGCTGCACAGTCTGATTCAGTTGTTATTACAGAGAATAGAATAAGGAGCCTCCCTCTACATTCTGGGTGAAGACCTATTTTACACAACTCCAGCCACATAAATACCATAATTGGAGTCGATGTATTTTAGGTCAAATTGCTGTGGGGCCTCCACTGCAGGGGGTCAATGGGAAAATGATTTCCCTTATTTTTCTCATTCTGGCAGAGTACCAGAGTCAATGAGAGAGCAGTTGGCAGCTAGACCCACTAAGCTGACCCCCAAAGGATTCCTTGCCGCAGCACCGATCCCCAGTAAATGCAGACACACCCTCTGATCCCCTGGTATAATGCTCCATTAACTAGCCAGCAAGGTGCAGTCTTACATCAGGAAATTGACACCTTCAGGACTGACTGTCCCAGGATGCTGAACTTCGGCTTTTCTGTTTTCTGTTGTGCCCAGACAGATAAAAATACAAGCTATTGACTATACAAATGAGGACTCCAATAGGGAAATCTTCCCTGGGTGCAGATCAGAGGCCAATGTTGGTAATTCAACTGCTAAATAATCCACTTCTGTGGTAAATTCATTCTGGCTACGTCTACACTAGCATGATTTTCCAAAAATGCTTTTAACGGAAAAGTTTTCCGTTAAAAGCATTTTCGGAAAAGCACGTCTAGATTGTCAGGATGCTCTTCTGCAAAAGCACTTTTTGCGGAAAAGCGTCCGTGGCCAATCTAGACACGGTTTTCTGCAAAAAAAGCCCCAATCGCCATTTTCGCAATCGGGGCTTTTTTGCGGAAAATTGTACTGTGCTGTTTACACTGGCCCTCTTGTGCAAATGATTTGCGCAAGAGGGCTTTTGCCCGAACGGGAGCAGCACAGTATTTCCGCAAGAACACTGACAATCTTACATGAGATCGTCAGTGCTTTTGCGGAAATTCAAGTGGCCAGTTTAGACAGCTGGCAAGTTTTTCTGCAAAATCAAATGATTTTGCGGAAAAACTTGCCAGTCTAGACACAGCCTCGTTGTTTTCTCCCGAGTCACTTTTATTCTCTGATGTGTCATTAAGGGAGGTTACTGTGTATTCTACCCACCATCTCACTGCAGGGTGATGGAAAACCACCTGTATCTTTTTTTTTTTTTTTTATTTTTTTTTACAAACAAAAATGCAGTTTTGTCTTCCTAAATGTTTCATGCTATTCAGTCATTGCAGTATCCATATTTATAGTTATTTTCAATCCACTTTTTTAGCACCTGTTAATGAGTTTACTTAAATGTTATATTAGAAGATATTAGAGGGGTGTTGAAGGATTCTGTGAAAATTAAAGTTTCACCTGAAAAAATTAAAGTAGCTTTTATTGTCCAGATACTGTACAGTAATAAATGCATTATCATTATTTTATCGTATCCTAACTCATAATACAAAGTTAGGGGATGTAAATATGTTTACTCATCCAAGACACTAAGGGCATGTCTGTCAGCAGAGGCATGTAGATTAGGCTACCCGACATAGTCAATGAAGCGGGGATTTAAATAATCCCCGCTTCATTAAAATAAATATGGCCACCGCGTTGTGCCGACGATCAGATGATCCGGCAGATCACTACAGTCTAGACACAGATCTGTTGGCAGGGGAAGCCTTTGCCAAATGATCCCTTATGCCTCATGACTATGTCGGGTAGCCTAATCTACATGCCTCTGCCAACAGAGGCATGTAGTCTAGACATATCCTAAGGGTATGTCTACACAGCAAAGTTATTTCAGAATAATGGACATTATTCCAAAATAACTATGCAAGTGTCTACATAGCAATAGCTTTATTTTAAAATATTATCAAAATAATGGGCGGCTTATTCCAAAATCTGTAAACCTCATTCTGCGAGGAATAATGCGTCTTCCAAAATAGTTATTTTGAAATAGGGGCTGTGTAGACAGGGCAGCTGAAGTTATTTCAAAATAATGGGCCTCTATCCCTTCCCAAGGTACCCTGCTGGCCACTCTGTAGGAAAACTCTATATTCCACCCCTTCCCCATGAGCCCTTAAAGCTGCAGCTGCAGTAGAAAGGGCTTGTAGCAAGCACAAGGCCCCAACAGCCCTGAGCCTCCCTGCAGGCTGCCATTGCCTCGCTTTTTCAAAAAATGAGACAGTTTGCTGATCCAAGCCAGCCCTCTACTGCTCCCAGGGAGCAGTCAGATGGCTCTCAAGAGCCTTACCGGGACCAAAAGAGACGTGTGCCTTCCTGGTCTGGTGCAGAGATTCTGGACCTTGTTGAGGTCTGGGGTTATGAAATTA